CCTAATTTTCTAACAACTATACATTGCATATTTTTTAACACTTTTTCTTTGTTAAAATAAAGAGGGGGAGATAAGATAAAAATAATAATATAAAGAACCAAATCAAAATAGTCATTAAACAAAATCAATATAAATGGAAAAAACATGTGTAATAAACAACAAAAGCTAGGAAAAAGAATTGATCACTTATGCAAAAAGAAAAAAAGGCCAACTAAATAAGAGAAAAATAACTCTATACGTAACATGATCTTGAAACTGAAGTTATAAATATTTTTCTATTTATGAAAAATAAAAAACTAAATATAAAACGAAGCTAAAGATATTTTGAGTAATTTTTTATTGTATTTTAGTAGTTATTAATTACTAAATCTTAACTGAAAAAATTTGTTCGATTTAATAGTATATCAAGCAAATATATCATTATATTTTATTTATTTTATTATATTCCATTAATGAAGTTTATTATATGACTATAACTATTTCTAATATAAAAGTATTTTAGTTGATTTATTTTCTTCATATAATAATAACAACAATAATATTTTATATTTTACAATTCAAATTAATGTTAGGGTGTTTTTTAAATAATAATTTAAAAATAATGGTTTCTATTTATTTTTAAAAAGTTAGAGATGATTGTGTAATTTGTAAAAGTTGAGGGAATTTCTGTAATTTAACAAATTTTTTTTTTTTTTTATGAAGTAATTACTTAACCTCTCTCTTTCTCTCTCTCCAGGGCGAAATTTGGCCGCCTCTCACCCATTTCTCTTCTCCTTCGTCCTCTTCTAAAACCTCACTGCTGTATCTCTTTTCCTCCTTGTATCTCACTCACATACAGACACAAGTTAAAGCTGCTTATCGAAGCATTCTCCTGCGATTGGAATTTATATATTCCGTAGGTAACGAGTTTACAACTCTGACAACTGTTGTATACGCGCATAGGTGTTGTTTTATGTTAATATCTCTGGCCTTTTTTGTTTGGTTTGTCGGGGAAAAGGAGAAAAGGAAGTGAAATGAAAAGGTTTGAATCTGTTTTAAGTTTGTTTAGTTTGCTTTTGATAGAAATGAGGAACGGCAATTTGAGCTTGGCTTGTTACCGTTGTTGGCTTAGTGGAATTTGTTTGTCATTTCTTTGTTCAAGTTTTTGCGTTTTGTATTGGATTGAAATGATTGAAAATTTGAGTTTGTAATTTGTCGATACACGTCATTTATCCTTGTGAGGTAAAACATGGAGGCTTTTGATATCTTTGTGTTTCAATTTGGACAACCGTTGACATGTTCTGAAAATGAGCAGGCTTGTCTTCCATTTTCACGTTATATAAAACGGCAAGTGCGTACCATTTGTTTTAACTAAGTCCACATTGCCGGTTTTTGCAAATTTGCCAATTGTTTGAGTTCTTGTCCAATAGTTTTCCATTTTGAAAATAGCGTTTTCAGGTAGTTCTGGTTCAATTTT